AATCAGGAGTTTATTAGCAAGTATATCTCATGTATACATGGGAGATAGCCAGGGAAAAAATAAGTAATTCATGAGGTGTCTTAGAGTTTGGGATTAAGTGCCATTTTAATAGGAAAAGGGGAGGGAGGATATAGGCCTCTTAGGGGACAGGAAATGATTTTTAGAAAAGATGAATGGGCCATTAGAAGAATAGATAGGAGGTATGATAGTTTGTGACAAAGTTTGGGTGTGGTTCGACTTCTAGGCTCCTCTCTTATGACAAGAGTCAGTTGTCTCTGGCTGATGAAACTCCTGGAGAGGGGATTTATGACAACTGAGTTTCTTTTGGAGGACCTGTCTTTAGGCAGATAAGGAGAGTTCAGAGGAAGTCTCCCTCTGCATTTGCTGTTTTCCAGATGCCTTCAACTCAAAGTAATCAATATACTATAGTGGTATATTTTGGGGTGGCACATCCTGCTACCCTTTAGAGTGCTGTAGGTTGAGGTTAACTAAGGCCATTTGTTCATCACTGCTATTGTATTCATTTTGTTTCCATATATTAGGGTTTCAGCCTTGGGCTGGACATTGATATACCAACAATAAGAAGAAAGTCTGATAAAGCTGTTTGGATGAACGGAGAAAAAATTTTATCCATTCTCTTCCTGTATTCTCTCCTGAGAAGACGTTCCTTTTCGTCCCACAATGCCACTTTAGGCTATCGGCTTTTAAATTAGGTATCAGGGGTGGCTGCAGGAGAACCAGTTAGAGAGTAGTTTAAATACAGATCCCAAGACTCTGATTTGGTAGCTATGAAGGGTGAGCCAAAGAGTCTGCATTTTTGAAAAGCTCTCCAGGCTGAATTTAGATGTGCTGTCAGGGTTAGGGAACACTCTTACAGATCATTGCCATGAATCTACAATAGTATTCCTTTTACTTTCTGAGTCTTTCCTGTCTAATCCACTGTACATTCGCCATTCCAGGGTGGCAGTAAAACATACACACATTCGTGATTTCACACAGGCCTGTTAGTATTGTTGATGAAAGAACAGCCAAACCTATAGAAAAATTTTATGCGTTTATAAGTTTATTTTGAGCCAAACTGAGGACATGCCCAGAGCAAGATTTCAATGGATTAAGAAAATGCTCTGGAGAATGGTAGTTGGATGATTCTTTTTATACATTTAGAATCAAAAGGGAAAACATAAGGAAGGTTACATGAAATTCATTGTTGGTGGATTAAGGAGGTGGGAGAAAGCAAAGGGGGGATGGAAATCTCTGGGATTGGACAAAAGGCAAAAATGGAAAGATACATACTTCTTTTATATTGATGGATATAGGATAGTTAACATTTAACATTTACAATAGAGACCAAATGCAGGCAACAAAATAACAATCAGTTTGGTGCATGTGCTCTTGTGAGGGTGGTTGTGTCTCCTAGGAGGTCTAGAAAAGATGATTACCCTGGCAGGTCAAAGGTATACTATCCTAGATGCACAAGAACAATGGGCAGGGCTGGCTTAAGGCAAAGATAAACCTTTTACTAAAGAAGTTATATGCCTGGGGTGTGACCACCCACCATGACCTGCCCTGTTAGGAATTTATGATCAGGTCATTCTGTGTTGTTACTTTTCATCACTGAGCTTTTCAGGTCTGCTATGTAGCCTTTTTTCATTCACAGTATCATTGTACCGAACAAAAACTTCTTACAATTTCCCATAAAAATGAGTCTGATAATCTACTCCAGAGTTTCCAAAGGGTGGAGCCTATAAATTCTTCACCCTTATAACATTTAGTAAGAGTTTTCCATATATTAAACCATTTATCCATGTTTAGAGGGTTTCATACTCAAATGAAAAAAGTAAGGCTTTGGTAAGCAGAATTTCTCTTTTACAAATACTTTCTGGTACGAGTAGCTACATTTAATCACTTTATACAACTTCAGAGGGTCTTTTATTTTTCATATCATAGTAGAAGAGTTAATAAAAATTTCAATTTTTAACCATTTATTATGTTTCAGGCAGTAGAAATAAGTGATTTGCATGCATTGTTTCATTTAATGTTTTCAACAGTTCTCAGAAGTAGGTGAAGTATCTCCATGTGGCAGTAAACTAAGGGTCTGGAATTTTAAGAGATTTACCCAGTTACATATAGGTTTTAAGTTTTGGAACTGAAATTTAAACTCAAGTTCAATGAAGTTACTGGTTTTATTTTTCCTTTTTTTTTTTTGTTCTTAGATACTGAATATCAATATAAAAAAAAACAATAAAAGGTTATTTCTATCTCTTACCAGTTTTTCAAAAGAAGTGCAGGATTTCCTAAGAATTTGACAGAACATATATGTCCCACCTCCCCCCCCCTTTTTTTTAAAATATTTTACATAATAAAATGATAGCTTTCTATTTCTTTAACCACAGTTTTGGAAAAATATGAATCCGAGATGGAAAGTCAAAAGCCATGCCACAGTGGGGAAGGTGCTGGTCCGAGAGCGCCTAATGAGTTTGGGATTACGGCTCTTTCTACATTGCTTATAGAATGTTGGAAGCCACTGTACTACCGCTGGCTTTCTTTGTCACATGTCCCCATTTGAGAAGGCTTGGAGCTAGCAAGGAACTTGTGTATGTTTTTTCTCCTTTAAAAAAAGATTCCTGTCAATTATAACACCTGCCTAGGAAAGTCATGGGGTAAATCATGGTGGTAGAAATTCTGTTTGCTAACTTTCAGAAAATCACAGGGTATCACTCAGTGGTCAGCACATGGAAAAACAGGTCCCCATATACGGTTGTCATTTTGTTCTCAGCCAGTATGAAGAACCATTGTGGCAGTGATGAAATGCCATGATCAGAGTACAAATAAATCTGGGTATAGATTTATAATACATAGTGGAGATATAGGTAGATAATAAAAAGCAACACTATTTCTTCTTTATTCTTGGTGCCACTGAGAAAACGTGTTCTATTACAGAATGGAAACTAGGAGACATTTCTTTAACCAGAGGATTAGGTACATGTGGGCAGCTGTGTTGGTAGCCTTGGTGAATCTGTCACTGCGGAGGATGTTGCCATGGCCTTCCATCATAAATCATTAGGATTTAAGTGAAGCCTTTGATGTAGTCAGCAGTGAAGTTCTGGAGAGCAGGGACCCTGTCTTAATGATTTCTTGTATCTCTGCTACTGAGCATAGAGGTGGCACCTAGAAGGTGTTTACCACTTGGCTCAATATTAGGGCAGGCCGATAACTCCTTGACCTGCTATTATTGTATACATATAACTGCACTATTGATCCATGTGCAGGATCTCTGAATACTCTGTATAACCTGCATGACCAATCCATAAGCCCTCTCTGCACTTTTAGTTCTGATTTATTAAATGCTTGAACAAATGCTGGTTACTGATTAAGGTGTAGATGAGGACGAGAATGACAAATTGAAAACATTTACTCAAGTTACTGTTAAGCTTTTTGGATAATAGGGTTAAAATTCAGATTGACCTTGAATATGATAGATACAAATGAGTCGAATTAAGACTGTTAGGGAAGTACAACTCTTGGAAACCTAAATATAAAACAGGGCCTGTATATGTCTAAGTTTCAAGGAGGGGAGAAGAAGGGGGACTCACTGTGAGTCAGCAACATGGTGCTTTATTTTCTTAATTATTGGGCACACGCTGCCAGTTAACCATGGGAGCATGGCATGTGGGGACTGCTGGGTAACATTTCCAAAACAGTTAGCACTAGTAGAACACTTTTTTAGAATTCTGTGTCCACTTTGGCTGAAGGAAAATGTGGAGTTTTGTCAAAGGTGCAGATCATGGCAACTAGATGCAGCGAAGCACTGGAAAATAGGACCCATTAAAAAAGGCTGATAAATAAGGATTAATTACTTAGCCTGATCCAATGCAGCTGAAGAGTGATTAAATTAATGGTCTTCTGTTGCATGTCTAGTTATTATGTAGAAGATGATATACTTATTTCCATTATTAATAGAATTAGGGAAATAGATTTACATTCGAGTTAAAGGAGATTTTGCAGGAGCATAAAGACTTCTTGACTTTAAGGATTGTTGGACAGTGGAAAGTCTTCTCAACTGGAAATATGAAATCATATTCCTTACAGGATAAGAATTGGGTGGGTACTGCATGCCAGTCAGACTTAACGCAGTCTGACAACTAAGTTCACGAACTTGTTGCAACAATGTTGCTAACCTTTTTTTGATATCAGAAGGATTATTCATTATGAATTTGTACCAACTGGACAAACAGTTAACCAAGTTTACTATGTGGAAGTGCTGAAAAGGCTGCGTGAAAAAGCTAGACGACCTGAACTTTTCTCCAACAATTCATGGCTCTTGCATCATGACAATGCACCAGCTCACACGGCACTATCTGTGAGGGAGTTTTTAGCCAGGAAACAAATAACTGTTTTGGAACACCCCCTCTACTCACCTGATCTGACCCCCAGTGACTTCTTTCTTTACCCAAAGATAAAGGAAATATTGAAAGGAAGACATTTTGATGACATTCAGGACAGCAAGGGTAATATGACAACAGCTCTGAATGCCATTCCAGAAAAAGAGCTCTAAAACTGCTTTGAAGGGTGGACTAGGCACTGGCGTTGATGCATAGCTTCCAAAGGGGAGTACTTCGAAGGTGACCTTAGTGATATTCAGCAATGAGGTATGCAGCACTTTTTCTAAGATGAGTTCGCAAACTTAATTGTCCTACCGGGTATGTGCAGTTGGTGTACAAACTGACACACTTTCTAGATCCCATTTCATGCTGCTCATCTCACATTGTATTTGACATTTTCAGTGAGTAAATCAGCATTCTCTTTTTGTTTGTATTTTTTCATAATTATTACAAATGTCAAGACCTTGCTTTTAGTGATCCTGTAATGCATTTCAAGCAAGTGCAAGGTTAAACCACAAACTGAAAATTATTTCACCTGCAAATCAACTTATAGCTCATTCTTATATGGGTCCTTACAATATTGTCAATTCTAACTTGCCTTTTCTTATTCTTCTTTAGAAAACTCACCGTGTGCCCTCCTCGCTTATTCTACAATGAGTGCCAAATCTACCATCAGCAAGGAAATTTTTGCACCTCTTGATGAAAGGATGCTGGGAGCTGTCCAAGTCAAGAGGAGAACAAAGAAAAAGATTCCTTTCTTGGCAACTGGGGGTCAAGGCGAATACTTAACTTACATCTGCCTGTCAGGTAATAAAAACCAGATATTAACACTATTAATACAACATCTATTTTAAAATAGTTCATTCTGAGGTATCCAGGAGGATTTATATACCTGGATTTTGTGTACGTCTGCTCTTCTCCCCTCTTTTCTGTTTTTCTGTTGTCTTCTCTGATCCTTACTCATGGCACCTCTACTTTTGAGGTTGCCTTATATGGGAAAGGTAATGAAGTTAAATTTTAATGTATTTTCTGATTCATTAAGAGCTTCTATAAAGGGTTTAGCAGATGTAGTTGTGTGTCCATACTCCTTGGGGGCTGTTCTCTGGGGTTTTTGTTTTAGAACAATTCCTGCTATTTAGGTAATTGTCCTTACTAACAGCCTGAGTTTCATTTAATTTCTTTTTCTTAACAGTTGCCAAAAATCAATAATAGTTAGTCTCAAGATAAATATCGACACAACATGGAATGGGAGGCAGTAGACTGAGCTCAGATCACTGCTTTGCCTGACAGCCGTTCCGTGTCCGGGAGAGGCATCTGTATCTATTATGCTTATAATTTTGTTGGATTATTTTTTTCTCTTTCTGTGTGTGATTGTAGGAGATTTGTGGGATTTGCTGTGGATTCATACCAAGTTTCTTGAGATAAAGCTTGGATAAGTTTTCCATGGAGTTTTGGGTGATGCTAATCTGAGCACCTGGGGCATTTGTAATATTTCTGTTATTTCTTGTAACCAGGCAATGGAAGAATTAAGTTTGCCTTAATTCTTCTTTTCTTTATTTCCTTCAGTTGTGGCTTGGGAATAAAACTTTATTTTGGACCCATTTTTAGCTTAAAAACAATTAAGCCTCTGATCATTTAAGTTTATTAGAATTTATTTCAAAGTAGACATAGCTTTTTCCCAGAAAGAACATGTAAAGATAATAATACTGGATCTTACTATAAAATGAAATGACAACATAGCCCTTTGGTAAGAATGAATGCTTTTTCAATGGTTAGAAGAAAGCTTTTGTTTAAATGAGTGTGAGAGAATTGACCTTGACATATTGGTCTTTCTTAATCCCAATTAAAGGTTAGGTTAATAAAATTTGGTTATTATTAGAGGACATTTGCATCCCTTTAGCATGCTCATCAGTGCCTGGCGTATAATAAAGACTCAATTTATGCGTGTGTATCTAACGACCAAGTGAAAGTCAGAAGTAGCCTTTCCTAATACCTTTCTATTATTTTGTTAATGTTATTCAGGTTTTAAAAATATTTTCATGTTCTTAAATTTCTGGAGTTTTTGTTTGTACCAATAATGACAAGAAATGCGTTTTAATACATTTTGTTTTGTGTTTGGGCTGAGCTGAACATGGGCTGAGCATGGACACATAGTGATTCTGATTTTATTTACTGTGTGCTCTCAGTGTTAAATTGAGATTTACTGAAGAGAGTAGTTGAAGAAGAGGTGGACGGTCTAGAATCCCCTGGAGTTTTGCCTACTACACACTTGAAAAAGAGGGCAGTTTTGTATGCAGTTGAGGCATACACTGTTGGCCTATTTCTGATCTGCAAGAGTGATACGGGGACTGTAACTGCCTCATCTCAGTGAAACAGCATCACCAGTTGCCCTGCTGTAGGACAGGAGGATGTGGGACTTAGTGGATAACTGCATTTCCTTTACAAATTATTGACACGTTTGGGTTTAAAGTCTGATACTATGAGAATTGCTCTTTTGGTTCATTCTAATGGGGGAAAATCTTTGGTTCTGAAAGTCTTCATCCTTTTCATAGATTTGAATTTGAGTGAACAGGTTGATACAATAGATCTGATATTTAAGCAGATGCGTTCATGAAAATTGGGGCAGGAGGAGGCCAGGCCACTTGGACGCCAAATTTTTTTGCAGTTTGAGTTTTCTTAAAATTGAGAAAGAGGCAGCCACCTTTATTTTCTAACTTATGTGAAAGCTTAGAGGCATATCAGTCCCACCTCTGATAAGGTAATGTTTTAATTAAGTAATTCGTTAATTGCTCAAACATTTATTAAGTACTTTTTTAGCTGATCACCCTAGGTCCTGGGGGGTTCAGTTATGAGAAGAAACTCGTGAAGCTTACCTTGGGTGGGGAAGAAGCAGTAGACATTAATAAGTTACTCACTAAAAAAAACCCCCAAAAAACATAATCATTAACTGTGAAAAGGTTAACAAGGAAAAACAGAGTGCTATGTAAGCATGTGTGAGGAGAACCTGGCCTGGCTGGGAGAACCCAGAGCTGCTCCGCTGGTTCTGAAAAGGGGATGGTGGTGGTGCAGAGAGCATTCCAGGTAGAGGGAACGGCAGCCTCATTAAAAGACTCAGCTGGATTTTGAGTTTCTCCTTTTCTCCTGTTCAGTCTCAGGATGACCTCTTTGTAGCTCAACTCACATAGGAGACTGTGAAGTGAAAGCAAGGCCCCGGGAATGACAGCTTCCTTCCTGCTATTAGTGTGAACCACCTACGCTTTGGGGGGGGGGGGGCAAGCCTTTCAACTCCTGTGGTTTGGCTGATGAAAACCAGCTATCCGCTGGGAACAGGCAAAATTTGTCCAAATTAGGACAATGTCTGCAAGTAATATTTAACCGCTTTTTAAATAGCAGAAAGTTCTTTTAAAAAATAATAAAAAAACTTGAAACATATCATAGTTTTAAAAGTTTGCCAACATATGCACGTAAGCATAGGTGTATTATATATCCAATGTCTTTTGCTAATGTTTCTTTGTGTGAATATTTTTTCCCCAGTGTCTGTCAGAATTTATAATCTGAGAGGTAAAAGCCTCTGATCATAAGACTTATTGTTTTCAGAGTGGGTTCTATATTCTCTGCAGGAATTCATAAAGGTGCTGGAGTGGAGGAAATAAAGTGATCTTTCTTGGGTTATTTAGCTGTAATTGCATACAGAGAGAAATAAAATCTCCAGTTCATTCATGAAGCCTTGGGATAGAATTTGAGTATTTCTCATTGGACTTCCTGAATGGTTTCTTGCATGGTGTGAAATGCTTACAGACTGACATGCTTCTGTTGATTAGCATTCTTTTTTTTTAATTACATTATTGGGATGACAATGGTTAGTAAAATTACATAGGTTTCAAGTGTACAATTCTGTAATACACCATCTGTCTATTGATTAGCATTCTTAAAGCACTAGTTTCCACTGTTTCTTCTTGGCAGTGGCTACAATTAAAGACTGACAATATCAAGTGTTGACAAGCATATAGCACAATTTAAGCTCTCGTACTTTGTTGGTTGGAAAATAAAAATGAAGTAAATGCTTTGGTAAATAATTTAGCATTTTCTAATAAGTCAAATGTGCCCTTCTATGACTCAGCAACTCTGTTCCTAGGCATTTAGCCAAGAGAAATAAAAGCATATGTCCACATAAAGACATGTGCACAGAGGTTCATAACAGCCTTAATTGTCATAACCAAAGATCAGAATTCAAATGTCTGTCTACATGTGAATGAATAAACAAATGATTTTATATATGTGCAGTGCAATACTACTGTAAGAAGCAAACTACCAGTCCATGAAGCAACATGGATGAATCTCAAAAGCCTTAGGTTGATGAAAAGAAAAAAAACAGAAAAGACTACATGCTATGTGATTCTATTATATGAAATTCTAGAATGGACAAAACTTAAGTTTTAGTGACAGGATGCCTATTGGTGTTTACCAGGGGATGGGATTGGGGATTGAACTGCAAAGGGGCATGAGGGATTTTTGCAATGGTGTAAGTGTTCTGTATGTTAAATGTGGTGATGGTTACTTAGATGTATACATTTTTCACAACTGTGCTCTTCCAACTGCATACTTAAAATGGGTACATTTTACTATATGTAAATATATTCCAGTAAAATTTGAGTGTTTTTTAAATGTCTTATGAAGACACTAGTGGGTTGGTCGTGAGAATTTATTAACCTTCTTATCTTGGTCTGCCTTGTAAGGTGGCCAAAAACTAGCCCTTTCCTTTGTAGAAATGAGAAGTTATCCTCGATGGCCTTTTTGAACCCTCAGACAGAAACAGCTGTGTCATATCAACCTGTGCTTAAATCATTGTCTCTATAAAAGGAGCATGAAGAAACTTTAATTTTTGTGATTAATATATTCTTTTATATATTTTGTTGAAACAGAAAATCTTAATCTTTTCAAAATGATTTTGAGTTGGTAGAGAGAGAAATGTTCTAATTTTTAATAAAAAGTTTTGAAAGTTCTATGATGAAATAATTTAAGTAAATGGATCCCCGTGGAAGGTAATGATGTGAATTAGGAGTATAGAAGCTGGCAATACTGTTCTTTGTCTCAATGATTGTCTATCCTAGGTGTTCCTTTAAATAACCTCTAGAGGTTTTCAAAATACAGATGACCTGGTTCCACCTAGGTCCTGCTAATGCAGCACTGGAGTAGTGGGGAAACTTACCTGTATTTTGAAAGTGTTATAACAAAGCTAAGGATGAGCAGTTTCCTTATCTTGGGAGTTATACTCCAGGTTGTCTTATTGGAATACTTGATACAATGATGTATTTTTGGTACTCAATTCTATCAAAAGAATACTTCTTAGTCTCTTTCTGATTAACTGACCATGGTCAAACCTCTGAATTTTTCTGGGCTTCATTTTATTCAGTTGACAAGTTCAAAGGTTCCTTTGGGCTCAGAGGTTTTAGGGTTATGAACCCCTTTGGAAGTTTTATACCAAATTTCATTCTTATTCCATACATGTCATGTAGGAAGAAATTAAAGTTATTAATAATACAAATGCACACCTAAAACATTTATAATGGTTTAAGAACATTCTTTATTATGTTATTGAAATTAGGGTAACCAAAGTTAATTGCCAGTGATCTGACATAAGAAAGAAATTATTTTTATCCACTTTCTAATTCAGACTGGATCTCATCTCAAGGTTTATAAATATTAGAAGAGAGAGAAGCAAAGAATACAAGACAGATGAAATTTGACCTTGATAGACATGGTGAGTTGACTTTCCAAGAGTTTTTACCCATGAAAAATGAAGATAC